TCCAATCGCAGGGCTGTTTACAAACGGAAAACGGAGAGACTGTTCGGGAGAGCTCGTGAAAACTCGACGATAAGGTACCTGACCGCCCCTAAAATTTTCTCAACGGATTTAGACGATTCACAAAAATGATCAATTTAAGAAATAAAACGGCGGATTTCCGCGGATCCGCGGAAAATTGCCATGTATGAAATACCCACATTCTTTGGCTTTTTTGTGGGTTAAGTTTATTCCTTGTGCTGCAGCCCCAGACATTTAATAATCTCTTGCCCTGGTTCGTTGAGATTGGCGTGTAAGTAAATTTTGCCGGGCCATCATTTGCCAGCTGCCAGGCTACCCATTCGTCATCGTCAGACTGTGATTATTTCAAGTCAAACCATACTGTCATCATCAGAACTGAGAGTCTGTGCTTGGAATTGAAGCGGATCAAAATGGGACAGGAGATTTGAACCAATGTCTGTATTCGTCAATTGACACGACAGCTTCTTGTTTACTTTCAACCTTAGCCTGTAGCAGATGTGTGTAACGTCATGCACGCTGAGATCATGATGTCTCTGATCCACTGGTGAAAAAAGACATTGATTCTCTCTTTTATCTATAATTGCTTCAAACGACAAGGCGTGTGTTGGAATAGTCAATACAGCAGTTGTTATGATCAGACCCCTCACCAACGGCGGGCCATAGGAGGACGTGCCTAATTTGAGGCACGGATTTCTCAAAGTAAACTTTTCATTTTTATTATATTTTTTTCTTTTTTCATAGTAGCTATGTTTGTGTTGTGAAATACTAATGCTGAGTTACTTATCAGGAAGACAGCGATGTCATTTTGTTTGATTGATGGCCAGTCTTATCTGCAACAGCCAATCACTGCGTTATTGAAAATAAGGTTACATACGCAGGCGTGAACGTGATGAATACGTCAATGATTGCATGCGAGAGTCCTGCGCATTTTTTAGTGTGGCATTGTGAAATGTGGCAAGACATGCATTGTATTTTGTATTTTATGGACGAGGTGTTTCTCTCGTGAAGTGGCATAAGCTTTGTAGTGAGCACCCCTCTAAATTCTTTAATACTTGTGCGATCTTTCTAATATTTTAAGAGGTTGATGTATACGTAAAAATGTCAACATAAATTTGGTTACTACTGAACGCAGTTTTTGCACATTAGGCGACGATTAGATCCCTACAGTTACGCGTTTACACGTTTATAGAGTGTCTGTCTACGGCAAGTGAGGAGGGACATATTACATAGGTCTTTGCAATCAAAGGGCCAATTGAACCGTTTGAGGCAAGAATCCATGGAGCCACAAAGTACAATATTTAGAACTTTAAAAACAAGATGCATGTTCTTTTCCTTTTTCTTGGTTGTTCTGTGGCAGTCAATTGTTGAACCGTGTGTCCCGATCGAAGCGATATGTCCGCCATAAAGTATTTGGCTTTAATATTAGTCATGAAGTCGGCAAACAATAGCCTATAATTGAGCTACAATGACATCGTGAAATCAAAAGCAATAATTTGGTACTAATTCAGTGAGTTTTGGCTTGATGACACATCTCCGAGGAGCAAATGAAGGAATCATCTTCATAATTTGCTTCGCTTGGCCATATCTAATACGGAGTGGACGAACTCAAAAATAGTTATCTTTATAAATGCAATCTAAATGCTGTCTATAATGCAGTTGTCGCTAAGGACGCCATTCAAAATGGGATCGGGGGTGCTATGCGAACATATGGAGCATATTAGGGACTGTCTATAGGGCAGTGGTTCTGAACCTTGTTAGAGGTCCCGAACCCAATCAGTTCATATGCACGTTCACCGAAACCTTCATTAGTGAAAAATAAAAATATGATTTTTTTTACAAATTCAAGACATTAAAAAAACACATTCATTAAAAACAGAAAAAAAGTAAAAAAAAACACATTACAATGGATAATTATAGGGTTTTTTTTTTAATTGTACAACGGACTATCACGACCGTCACACGGTGACTACTGAACGAACTAAATTTCCTGCAGCACTGATTGGACAAGCAATATAATATGATCATCTGCAGCCAGCGATGACCAAGTGGGCGTGTCATAACTATTTGATATCTTGAGTCTGGTGTGTCTTACCCTCCATGGCAGAGGCTCCGTCAAACCCCTGAAACCGATTCACCGAACCCCTAGGGTTCGATCGAACCCAGGTTAAGAAACCACTGCTGTAGGGTAGTAATTGTCCCACGCCACCACCCCATGCATTTCATGTGCCCCCTTCAGGCTGGGCTCTGGTGACGGGTCTGGTTATGATTGTATTATTGTCAATATTTTAATACTATGTGTTCTGTTGTGTTATTGTTATTTTATGTCAAACGTCCTGTAGAGCGCTTTGTTCCAGCTGCAGCTGTCATTAAAGTGCTATATAAATAATGATGTATTGTATTGTAATTTATCGTCATAATAGTAGGCCGATTCATGATCGACTCACTGCCATCTGGCTACTTATGAAAGCCCAGTCCATCGCGGTCCCTCCCACCAGTGGGCATGATCACGAAGGATTGGTGAGTTTTGCTTCTGGTTGCACGTTTCATTTTACTCGCGAATTTGGTCTACGAGCTCCCGGGAACAACAGAAGAGGACGCGGCAGCTATTTTTTGTTCTGTCCCGCTCTTCAAAATACTTTTGATGTGTACAGTGACGCCCGGATTTAAAGTCGGCGAAGTGGGAATATGAGAGCTGGTTAGTTTGAGCTGTAAACAGGTGGCCGACAATACCGATCATGCAGCATCCTTTGGACATTGGGGCGCTTTACTGTCCTGCGGAAATTCAGCCCGATCACGGGACGCATCGCTACCGGAGTTTCATGATTGAAGAGATTCTCACTGATCACCATCCTGAACACAAAGTTGGGGCTCCGACTCGAGAGCTCCTTAAATTCGGAGTACACGCGCTCCTCTCCACTCGTGCATTCCGTAACCAAATGGGTAAGAACAAACTTTGAAGACCGATTTAAAATATGAAAGGAGCACAACACAGCGGTTCCGAGTGTTTTCATTTTAAAACACATCCCCCACCCAACCCGTTGTGAAATTTATATGGAAAAGCATTTTGAAACATAAACGTGTAGTTTTCTCCCCCCCCACGCGCCGTGTGTAGTCTAGACAAAATAGTAAAATATGCGAAACTGAGGTAAACTACGAACATCACGTATCGACAACTGTTTTAATCTGTGCCCAGTGGACATAAGTAGTGGACATTAAATGCTTTGTTATTTTTCGATCGAAAAACACGCGTAATTGAACCAAAGTCTGTTAGTTGTAAACATTTTATCAACACTGCGTTGTTAAAATATAATTACTAATATAAATAACCGAATAACTGGATTGGATTGATTTTATTCCTTATGACAAGACTTTAATCGGACATAATATAATCTATATTAGTAAGACATACTGCATTAATTACATTGAACCTATATTTCAGTCAAAAGATAAAGAAGGCGAAAATTCCAACACGGAGCAACAGATGTGTACAAATTGACTCAGATATGAGAGCACATCACGGATCCAACGAGAGTTCCGTTTATAAATATTTGGATTTATAATTATGTCGGCGCTATTCACAACAGGTTCTCACCCTTTTTGCAATGATGTTCCGTGTACCCACTGTGAATTTTTAGTATCCCTCAACAGCACAACGCATATTTGGAAGACAAAACAAAAGACTTGCAAACAAAGTGCTGTGCCAACACTGTCTGATTTATTAAACTTTGAGACTACATTTATAGTGGTACCTCTAGAACTATATGAACATAACCAAACGAAATAACTAAAAAAAAAAAAACTGAAATAATTAATTCTAACCGCTCGGATGTGTGTATGGATAAGTAAAGATAAATATAAAAATGATTTCCCCCAACGTTGGGATCACAGTATAGATTAGTTATCAAACTAAACAATTTACTTATTTTTACAGAAAAGTGGAAACTGCAAAAAATAATCTTAAAATGTCTATTGAATAAATTATTGTCAATGACCAATTGTCAATACTGAATATGTAATTGGTGCACCAAACTGAGTGTTTTTGCATTAAGTGAAGCATATTTGTGCTTCACTCAGTGTTTTTTGGTAATTTTTGGTGGCAGGGAGACAATTGGTGTGTGATCAAGCTCTACTTTTTAAATGTATTTTAAAATCTCACGTATCCCCATTTGGGAACCAACGGTTTATTATAAACATGACAAAAGCGCAAAACAAAAAAAAAAAAAAAAAAAAAAAAAAACGCTGAAGACACTCTTTGGTTTGGTTCGTTTGGAGCCCGTAAGACCACAACGATGTGATGACATACAATACTAAAGAACGTCTAATGAAAAAAAAAAAACATCATAGCCCATGTTTATATGTAACCATTCTCTTCTTAAAGCGTTAAAGGCTGACCAGACTAACCTTGTGAAGTTCCCCTTATCCCCGCTGCCCTGCACACTGAGCTCCCCGTTCGGCTCGCCACTACTATCGGCGGCCGCAAACCTTCATGTCGGCGTGCCATCGCACCACCTGCCTCTTGACCCTCACCTCCGGGGAAAATTGGACCATGGATCTGACGGAACCGGCAAAAGCAAGAAGGGCCGCCGAAGTCGAACCGTGTTCACCGAATTACAGTTAATGGGACTAGAAAAACGCTTCGAGAAGCAGAAATATCTGTCCACCCCTGATAGGTGAGTGGCGAGAGCGAACAAAAGCTACGATTGAACCGGGGCGGGAATAACTTAGTGTTTTAGTGGTTAGCTCTGGAGACCTCTGAAAATGGTCATTTTATCGAAATGTCTCATCCGTTACAGAATAGACCTCGCGGAGTCTTTGGGTCTCAGTCAACTCCAAGTCAAAACGTGGTACCAGAACAGAAGGATGAAATGGAAGAAAATTGTAAGTTAAACACATAATTACCTTTAACGTGATATGTAATGCAAAACACCTGTGTGTCAGCATAAACAACACTGAACAAAAGTCTTTTTCACCTTAAGATTTTTTGCCCCCTATCTGGCAGTCCAAACCTTTTCTTCCAGGGACACATACAGAAAATATTCAGGACACAAAGGACCACTGACATTTTTCAACTTTAATGTATTTAACCGAGAATAGGTATATGTTGAGGAATTATATTGTTATGTACAGTTTAAAAAACTGTGAGACGACAAAGCAAAAAAACAAAATTAAAATATTTTCCTGAATCTATCTATCTAACAGACTTACCTTTATTCATAGAGTCGCTATTATAGTTCATATTTTAGTTGGAAATGGTTTCTTTGGATGTATTTGTGCATCTAGAAAAGCTCTAATACAAGTGTAGGGACTTTCTCCTTTCTGCTGCCTTGCCAACTAGCATTTATGTACAATGCAGACAAATGACACGGGATGTTAATTCTGGAATATGCCGCGGCCCGCTAAAAACGGATAACTCAATAATCAGTATTATAGACACCCCCCCCCCACACACACACACACACACACACACACTCATGCACACACACTTTCCATATGTAGTAATAATTCTGGACCGTTTGCAAAAGTGGGGAAAGTAGAGCATGCAGGCTTTATTTTCTTCACGTTATTATGATTATGTTACGCTTGTGTAATGCTTTTTGGGATCGACCTGCTAGCAGAGAATGTATTTATTTTTGTTTTCTTTTTAACTTTTCAAATGCTCCTGCGAAAAACTCAAGGCAAACGATAAAATTGGCCAACTGTGTTTTCAAAACGTATTGTTCAGTGGAAGGTCACAGATGAGTCCTATTCATAGTTTTATTTTTAGTTTGAATTGAGATCACTACAGATTTGAATAAGAAAATATTGAATTTTACGGCCAAGTTGAAAATTATTATATATCGTATATATGATTCAACAGAAAATATGCTGAAAGTACTAATAATGCCTCTATTGTACATTGTGAGAATTCAAACTTGAATTTCCTGTCTGTTGAATCTGAACTTTTCCTGCGAATTTTGGAATTTCAGGTGCTGCAGGGGGGAGGTTTGGAGTCACCAACTAAACCAAAAGGCCGTCCAAAGAAGAATTCAATTCCGAGCAATGAGCAACTCTCTGCAACTCTGCCCAAAAAATCAAATTCTGCTACTGAACGCCAGGCGGAATGCTCGAGCTCTCATTCCAAGAACACTCAGTCGGAAGGACTTCATTGATTCGTTCGAGCCCAGCGACACGAATTCAGAATTCGAATGCTGTGTTAAAGAAGCTGGAGTTTTGGTGCCTTCTTTTTCAACAAAAATCTCAGGACAACCTGAGCTGTACAACATATATTGTCTTCTTTTAAAACAAAAATCTCAGGACAACCTGAGCTGTACAACATATACTCCAGCAAAGTATATATGCATCAGAGGGAACGATGCAAGACAGCGATATTGTAAGGATCGCTGCCTTGCATCGTTTCCTCTGATGCACTTGTGACTAATTGAGTGGACGAAAACGTTTGCAGTATGTCTGTCATCTGTACTTAGTGTATTTCATCTGTGTATGTCATGAATAATTAATAAATATATTTTCACTAATATCATACATCCACCATTTTCTATGCCGCTTATCTTCACTGGGTCGCGGGGGAACTACAGGAATTTATAGTGCCGGCTGACTTTGGGCGAGATGGAAGGCACGGGACTGCTCGCCTGTCAATAGCATGACACATACAACCAAACATTCGTAATCAGATTTACACAAGGATAATTTAGAGTCTTAAATTGACCTAAGAAACATTTTTTTAGGAGGCGGGGTTTGGTGGGGGATGAGGCAGTACCCCGTGACGCAAACTCTGCAAACTCTCATTTTATCAATGACTGGCTTTGCAATTTTCCGATGCAAAGTATTGTTTTTACGTGTCGCATCGATTCACGCTTTGGTTCGGACAAGAATGTAAAATGAACATTATGTATACACATTCGTGACAACACTTAAATCAAGAAAAAAAAAAAAAAACCGACTGTGTAATAGTCATCAGTATATCGTAAAAGTTATGCGCCATAGAATGGGCCACGGATTTCGCCATCACGTTAACGAGTGGAATGATGGGCCCTTAAGTAATTTTTTTCTGAGGAGAAAATATAAAGTAAATAACATATCACACATTCATATATTTCTTATCAAACACACATTCAAAAACTAAATACAGACAACGTCAATCTCATTAAATTCGGGACACGTGAGCTATAATTAATCCCATATTTTTTACATTGGAGTTTGTTTGTGATTTAATGTTACCTATCTTACAAATTCTTTTCACTCATTACTTGCAGCCAAAGTTGGCATTATTACCCTGCTGATGGTCTGTGAACAGCGAAACCGTGAGCATGACTGCGGCTGGGGCTGTCTGTCGATGGGTCGTTAGATGGATTTGTGGAATTTCACTGTTCGCTGGTTTGTACAGATTCTCATTTCGTTCATTCTTCAGCGTCGTATTGCGGATAGCTTTCAATGAACACACTTTAGAAGTACAGATACTTGTGTTTAAAAAAACAAAAAACAAAAGTAGAACTATACTGATTCAACCAGTTCCAGAGTGTGATTCCTATACGCAAATTTCTGGTCTCATTTTCATATTTTCAGCCCTTGACTGTCATGATTCAGATCAGACCACAATATAACTCGAAATCCTGTGAGAAGCAGTCATTTAAAACATATTTTACATTGTATTGTTGTGGTTTTCGAGCGAGTATGTCTGTTAATGTTAAAACATTTGCAAAAATATCCTCTAAAGTTTTTTTTTTCCCAGTAGAACTTAGTAGCTTTTATTCAATGTTTTCAGCAATGCTTCGTTCATTGACATTATTAGCCTTTATTCAAGGTTTTATTGTAATTAATAACCATTGTGTTGAGCTATTTTGTATTTAATGATAACTGATAATACTGAACAAAAGAAAATAGAGAGACTGCAAACTTTAAACAGATTTTTATTCAAACAGGACTCCCACTTTGTCTGACTCTACAAATGACAAATAAATGATAAATAATGAAAAATAAAATGATAAAATTGAAACTTTAAAAACATGAAAAGGCATTCTCTGGAATAAAAATGTGAAATTATCACATTTAACAAAAATGAACATGAGGAAACAAAATCTACTACAATGACCACAAAAAAGTAACAGTAAATTCATACAAAATGCACAGTATTACACTCACAACATTTTACAACAGTTACAAAAACAAGGGGCATACTAGAGCTGAGAGCAGCTATGAATGGTCCTCGTAGTTTAGGCCACTTTGGGGTACTGGCATGTTGGGATTCTGGCTCAATGCCATACTGATACATTGGAATTTAATTTGTTATGATTATTTAAATAACAAATAAACTTAACTGACACAGAACTGGGGCTGCTGCTTTAAATATTTGTCAGATGTGCTCAAACCTCTGATATATATATATATATATATATATATATATCATCCACGAATGTTAAATTGTCGTATCTACCTAGTAGCCCCCAAAAACCCAAAACAAATTTGCACAAAAACTGGAGATATGGGGCTGAGTGAATGGTACCACTCTCTTCAGTGGGAAAAACCGAGCGAGTATGTCTGTTAATGTTAAAACATTTGCAAAAATATCCTCTAAAGTTTTTTTTTCCCAGTAGAACTTAGTAGCTTTTATTCAATGTTTTCAGCAATGCTTCGTTCATTGACATTATTAGCCTTTATTCAAGGTTTTATTGTAATTAATAACCATTGTGTTGAGCTATTTTGTATTTAATGATAACTGATAATACTGAACAAAAGAAAATAGAGAGACTGCAAACTTTAAACAGATTTTTATTCAAACAGGACTCCCACTTTGTCTGACTCTACAAATGACAAATAAATGATAAATAATGAAAAATAAAATGATAAAATTGAAACTTTAAAAACATGAAAAGGCATTCTCTGGAATAAAAATGTGAAATTATCACATTTAACAAAAATGAACATGAGGAAACAAAATCTACTACAATGACCACAAAAAAGTAACAGTAAATTCATACAAAATGCACAGTATTACACTCACAACATTTTACAACAGTTACAAAAACAAGGGGCATACTAGAGCTGAGAGCAGCTATGAATGGTCCTCGTAGTTTAGGCCACTTTGGGGTACTGGCATGTTGGGATTCTGGCTCAATGCCATACTGATACATTGGAATTTAATTTGTTATGATTATTTAAATAACAAATAAACTTAACTGACACAGAACTGGGGCTGCTGCTTTAAATATTTGTCAGATGTGCTCAAACCTCTGATATATATATATATATATATATATATATATATATATATATTAGAGCTGTCAGTATACAGGTATATATATTAGAGCTGTCAGTTTAGCGCGTTTTTATTGGCATTAATTTAAATTAATTTTAACGGGATTAAATTTTTTTCTCACGAGATTAACACGGCAGACGTCACAGCAGATGTTATGTTGCTCTGTAAATACACCAGAAACAAAACAACAAGCACGCTGCACATGTCCAAGCACTTTGTTTTGCCAGCGCGAGACACCTAAAACGGATACTTTTAGAGTTTATGAATGGAAAGTTTACTTTTAAAAAATTGCCAGATTGTTCCACTGACAAGACCAAAGTTACCTGTATGTTTTGCAGTCATAAATTGAGCTATCATCATAGCACGTCGAGTCTTAAATACCACTGAATGGCCAAGCACACAGCTGACGTGAGTCCTCCGCCCCCTGTCTCAGACAGACAGCTATGGATAATTTCAAAGCGAAGAAAATGGATAACACGATGAAGAACAAATTTGCTGAAGCCATAGCTAAATGTATGGCTACTGCATGCAAGCCTGTCAACATTGTCCACAGCTCGACTCAAGCTGAACTGACCCGATTGTTACTTGTTTGGAACTATTTTGTGTGGAAGGTTACAGTGTTCCGTGGCCATATAAATAAAGCGGTGGAGCTTCTCTGTGTTCTTCTGAGAGCGACGTGCGCTTCGGCACCTCGAGAGTGCAGCGGTGCAGTGGTAGCGACCGAGCAAACACATTGAAAATAAAACGTCTCCAGTGTTGTCATCTAACCAAGTGTAGTCATCCGAAATGATGTCTACACAAAACCGTAGAGAGACTTCCGAGCAAGAAGGACCAACAGAATCAACATAGCCTGACTGCTGTGTTCAAAGCAAACTTGAG